TAGTTATCACCCAAACATTGCCCTCTCAAAGTATTTGATATAAAAAGTGTCTTTTTTACCTTAAGAAATGACGTATTTATATAAATCTATTTCCTACGAGTGCTTTTTAAATGCAGCCACGTACCTTTGTCGCAACATGACTGAGAAATAATGATCATAATTGATTCCTAATAATCACAAGACTTATTCCATTACAGTATGCATCGTAAATTGTCTTCTTAGAAAACACACTTTCACTAAAACACACGAAACATAAAGTAACTAGTTATAGTTAGTAAGATCCTTTATTGAAACAAGATGAGAATGAAAGCAAGAGATACTTGAGGGGTTGTGTGTAACTAGGCTAATTCCTAAGTAACCTACAAGTAAAAGTGGATAAAATAAATCAAATGAATAATCAGACTTTTGAGTAAGTACATGACAATGCAAAATGAACTTTTATAATTTAAGCATATGATGTTACTACTACAACGAACGGTGTATAGAGAAAAGGAAAGTGTATGAGAATCAATCGTATTTAAAATAGGTACTACCTCCACCCTACGATGCAATCCCTTTTAATGGACTTATGATTTGTGCGGCTAGAAGGCATAACAGTATGATGTGAAGATGAGCAAAGCATCAGTCAACAGAAATATAAGTGAAGTTTGAATCTAAAATTCGTTTTTAAAGTAATGTTTACTTAAGGTGACACAAATCTATTGTTCAATGTTGTTCAATGTTACTCCGAAGAACCGATTTCGATCGCACTGGCAATTTACATCTGGCTTTTTTCAACACAAAAAATAAAGTCAAAAAAGCCTTCAATAAAATACTTCCTTGTTGATCGTCCATGATGCCGATTGTTTTAACGAAAGAGTCTATCAAACTGTTTATTTTTTCATCCGCCATTTTTTGGTGCTATGCGGATTACCGCTGTACTTTCAGTCCAAGACTCCCGTCCCAGTCCCCCTTTCCTAATTTTGCTGACATATCATATTTCCTTCTAAATCAATATTGACCAAAGTTCTCGACTGTAAGGTGAGTATTGGTCATAGATTATGGGTAGTGTCCAGCTTTCTTAATCGAACCGCTACCTGAAAACGAGTGCCTATATATGTATATTCTATGAGGTAAGAGGAATCTGATGATACGCTGTGGAAAAGAATATCTGTTAAGAACAACCTTGATATTTATCGTAGACCGTTCGCTCCTTTATTTCATAACCGCATTTACTTGGTGAGTATTGGTCATAGATTTGGGTAATGTTCAGCCTTCTTAATCGAATCATTACCTGAAAACGAGTGCCTATATAGGTGTATTCTATGAGGTAAGTGGAATCTGATAACACGCAGTAGAAAATAATATAAACCCTTCTGAACCACAAAATTATCGTAAACTGCTCGCTCCTTTATTTCGTAACCGCATTTTCTTACATCTAGCTATTTGCCGCCATTATCTAGAGAAACGATAAAACAAAATTTTCGGCTTAGGTGTACCTTTCAATAGAAATATGTCGGACCAAGATATATAATAAATTTAGTTATTTGAGATGAAATCTGTCTCCTGTGCGCCTCACTGATTTCCTGATTATTGGTCTCCTGACGTGAAATATCTTATCTTACGGTAAAATGTGGGCAAAGCTCTATTATCCATGGCTCATTTGTTCCTCTTTTAGCCAATTTTAGCTCAGAAGAAAATAAAGCAGTGAGGAATAGCAGAAAGACATAGCAATCCCTTATGCGGAAATAAATATGATTACAAATTCTGAGAATAATAATTTCCTTTTCGAGGAAAAGCCACTTCTGTTTTCGACCTTGATTCGAGTTATTAGTATAGATAGCCCAGCTAAAACTTTAAATTGTTATCTCCATGTTACCGCTACAGTGAGTCATTTTCTGAAGAATCTATTCAGTGTCGGGTACGGTTTCATTACGGAATCGCGCCCATTAAAAAAAGTCGCACAGAAAAAATGCAAATAAGCTGGAAAAGAGATAGAGAGAATGCGTAACTTCACGCAGGCCTGTCAATCCGTGTTCGCAAGTATTGTTTCATGCTCAGACAACCGAAACGTAGGGCTATTTATCGAAGAAGAATAGACTTAACTAATAGCGTTATCTTGATTAGGCTCTAAATATATTTATTTAAGTTCATACGGCAACCAGGTGGACAATCAGACATGGTTTGACGCTACTCTGGTTTACTGATTTAATGAATGTAACCGAATAAGTTACAATTCATAGACCCAACGGGTAAAATTTCCGCACAGCCCCATACTACATTATGCATTCAGTTCTTGGATCTAGCAAACAATGAAAAGAACAATACATTTCCATTGGGAAAACATATTTGTTTTACAATAGTACGGGGCTGTGCGGAAATTTTACCGAACTAACGTTTCGACACTCCTGTCTAGTGTCTTCATCAGGGGTGATCTAAACGCTGTAACAAGAGGTCCTTTAATATGATCACTAATTAGCTGCCTTTTTTCTGACGAGGTGTAAATAGCCGCCACCGTCACGATTTTAAAGGAGCGTGACCGGAGTTAATATGCCAAGCCTCCAGACAAAGAAGTTGGTGGTAACGCCGGTTAGTGGTGATAACTTTAGAATTATCCCACCCAATTGTATGGTTAGTTAGGCATGTGTGCTCCGATAAAGCTGAATTTTCCTTTTTGCAAAAGAAAACCGCTTTTTGATGCTCTTTCCAACGTGTACCAAACTGACGTTTTAGTCTGTCCGATGTATCCGTTGTCACAGTCATTGCAAGGAATAGAATAAATGGCGTCGGTTCGTTGTTCTTTCGTGACAGGATCCTTAGGTTTGGCGAAAATATGCCCCGAAGGATCCACTTGAATGCGATATATTTACGTGTTTCAACGTAATTAAATGCCCAGCAGTCAGCAGTTTTTAAAGAATTTCCACCGAAAGTTTCTTTCAAACTTCTTAAAAGTGTCAGATATGTTTGTTTAAAAATGTCAAGCGATTCAAAAAATTAATTTGGTTTTTCAGTGGAGAAACTCTCAGAGCTTGTGCATACTCTAATGTCGTTGGGTTGACTATGCTGCTGATCTGGTCGCCGGGCACGGTCTCGAAGGGACTAATTGCAGGGAAATCAGAAATTTTCACTATTTCAAACCAGATCAGACCATTCTCGCCACATTTAACGAGCATCAAGAGATAACATACATATTCGTCTGTTTTCTTCATTGTTTGAATGATCCGTGTTTGCTGATAACATCTTCACTCCGCTCTATAAGAGTGTAAACAAATTAGTGAGCAAGTATACCCTGCGTTAGTCACGCAACGCGTCACGTGACGTAACCAATTTATGGCCGCAAAGGAGACTAACTTTACGTTATTAGGAATTCATGACAAGTCAAAACAGATCAGCACCGCAGTCTACATTCTCTGAAACAGTGGCGTTCTCCTTTTCCTTTTCTTTTGACGTTGCCAATCTAGCGTTTCTAATCTAGCAAATTATATTTCACTTTAGAGAAGCAGGAATTAAGCCTGGCATTCAAGATGGAGGGATTGAAGTTTTGTCGGACACGCTCTCGAATGGACTAAATGCCGGGAAGCCAGAAATTTTCACCATTTCAAATCAAATCAGTCCGTTCTCGCTACATTTAACTAGCATCAAGAGATAACATACATATTCGCCTGTTTCTTCATTGTTTTTCCTTTTAATTTAAATGCACTCACCCTGCGTTAGTCACGCAACGCGTCACATGACGTGACCAAATTAAGGCCGCAAAGGAGACTAACTTTACGCGAATAGGAATTCATGACAAGTCAAAACAAGGGGTTATTATCGGATGTTGTCCGATAATAACCCTGGGAATTGTTTGTTAAATCACATAATCATTCTTGGAAAATATACCATTTATTCATGTCGTTGTAAAAATATCAAGCCGTCTGTATCCTTACTGAAGGCTAAAACATCTGAAACTCGGAAATTTGAATTTTTGATTGCAAAAAAGAATAAAAAAGAATCTATTCATTATAAAAAATGGGAAAACATGTTATTGTAACTCAATAGATGAGTATCGGGTATTAACAGTTATAGACGCAGTTGTATATACAGTCGTTCTACCAAAATAGGAATTTGATGTAGAAGTATTTGTACAAATTGGGTTTATATTATTATATAACCACAACATAAATTAAATCTAGCCGACTGTGAATGTAATGTAATGCAGTATTTCGTAATTCAAAAGTCAAAACAACGCAGCACCGTAGTCTACATTTTTTGAAGCAGCCGTGGTCTTCTTTTTTTTTTCTTTTGACGTTGCCAATCTAACTAATCTAACAAATTATATTTTACTTTGCAGAAGCAGGAATTTATTTTGGCATTAAGGATGGAGAGATTGAAGTTATTTTTGATTCTCCTATTATGGCGTCACTGTAAAATCATCCATGGTAAGTTACTTCATCATTTTAACCTGAATTGTCAACCGATTTACTCAATTCTCGTCGATAAGTGTCTTTTGATAACTGCACTGATTCACTGTGTTATTTACAAACCTTTATGGAGGAAAGGAATTTTTAAGAGCACACCTGCACAAAAAGGAGGCTTAGCGTAGTAATACTTAACTAACATAAATGAAGTGCTTGAAAATGAAGCAATACAACGCCCCTTCTATTGGTTTAATTTACTGAAAACCTGGGCGGGATGTTGAGAGAACTCTCGTTAAATCTGCTGCACTTCTATATAGGTTTACCGGTCCAATAAATGGTAGCGTTCTTGACCGATCAGGCCGCTCGTCGTATCTCGGTTATTATAAATCGCAATAAGTCGTATTATATTTGCATGAAATACTCAGTAGTTTAATTAAACGTGGAAATCGATAACTACTCTTTCTTGAGAGTAGATAAGCTCTTTGCATACACCTTGCGCAAGCGATTTTCATATCG